TTTAATTTATAATCAATAATTTTTTTAATGAACACAAGTATATTTGATTAGATATATTAAAGCTGTTACATTAGTTAAAAACTATAAGCACAGTTTTGTCTTACAAAAAATAAAAATAAGAAAAAATCATAAAATTATACTTAAACATTTAGACATTATTAATACATTTATGAACACAAGGATTTAATTAGATATATTAAAGCTGTTACATTAATTAAAAACTATAAGCACAGTTTTGTCTTACAAAAAATAAAAATAAGAAAAAATCATAAAATTATACTTAAACATTTTGACATTATTAATACATTTATTTTATTATGATAGATTTTGAGCAATGCCTTTTAGAAAATCGTTTATATTGCGGTTTTCAAAATCATTACAGATTGCTTTGATTATAGAAGCTGTATCTTTATATTTTTTAAGTTTTTGTCTTGGTTCAGTTCCAGCCAAAAAAATTGATGCATTTTTAAACGATTAAGTTTTTCTTCTTTTTTTAGCGCTTCGATAAACTTCCATATTGAAGGATGGAGTGCATTTAATGTTGAATTAAATGAATTATGCCACCCTTCTACTGAATTATTCGTTTTAGGAATATCATATTTAACGAGATTGTAACAATTCCATAGCTCTATTGGAAATCTAGGATTTCGGCGTTTTTTATTACGACATAATTTCCCAATCCACGTTTTGTTTCAATTTTTGAACGATCCGGCCGATGGTTATGTTCACGCTTACTTTCTTTTGTTACTTCCCCCTTTTCCACATGTACTCGACCCGGACATTTTTTACTATTATTTTCAATACAGCGCCAAATTGTTTTTTCAATATTTGTGCGTTCTAATTTATATAATTAGCCTTTAAAAATTAGCAGGTCTTTATTCTTTTCACTTTTAACGAATTCGCACATCTTAAAAAGAAATATTTCATACAACACAAATTATTTAGGACGTAGTGGTGTTTCCAGCGCATGGACGTGATATACTAAATGAGTATCAAAACTCGTATCGTATTATTAGATTATAAATTCTTATCCGTGTTATATGTATTGTAAATTGTAATTGGGAATTTCGACAATAATATTGATAATAACAATAAAACGCTGATTATCCGAACGCCTATTAACCGGACGTGCAAAAAAAAAAGGTTTAATGATAATTTTAATTGAATTGAACAACTGTGGATATCTAACCATAGTCCGTTTCGTAAATTTTTCAAATAATAAATATCAATGTAAAAAAAATAAAAAAAATTAGAATTGTACCCAACTGTAATTAAAATTTTAAAAAGTATTGATATTTGCTCCCAATTGTCTTGCACCCAATTCTCATTGCGCCTAAAAGTCCCACACCCAATTTTCAGCGCCCTATTGTCCCGCGCGCAATTTTCTGCACCCAAGTGTCGGCATACCCTTACAATGTTTGTCTTCGTGGCACATCGGTGTTAATGCTTGTCTTTCATTTCTAGTTACTAGAGGGCTCGTAATTTCCGGACAGCCTAAAAATAAATGATTTAAAATGCATTTATATTCAAAATATAGTTTTAGAAGTTATAGAAAATTAACTTTAATTTATGTCCATAGTCTAGACTCTAGAACATTACTATGTTAATTTTATATGGCTTACAAAATTCGTAGGATTTTTCCCTGCTACAATGGTTTCTAGGTAGGGGTTTCTTCTCTGATAGGTGATATATGGGATCTGCAACATGCATCTGCTACATCATTTGGCGGTTGCTTAAATTGTCGGTGTTCAGATCGTTCATGACGTGTATTTCGGTGATTTGTCGTCGATTCTATTTAAATATATATGATCATGGTTATTTAGTTAAAGGTATGAGCTGGCGGTTTAAATATCTCTACAAATCCAAAGGGCCAGTCCTTGGTCATTAGGTCATAATCAGGCATAGGCGCCGACTAC